AACTCCAGTACTCCAGGGATCCTCCTGCCTAGGCCTCCCAAAGTGCTGGGATTACAGGCACGAGCCACTGCACCCGGGCTGTTTGTAATTATTTAATATTGTTTGTCTTAGCCATATATCAAGTTGTTTATAAACAACATAAATTTATTTCGCACAGTTCTGTAAGTTGGAAAATCCACAATTAAAGTGTCAGCAGATTTGATGTCTGGGGAGGGCCCGCTTTCCCATAATGACACCCTCTCACTCTGTCTTCACAGGGTGAAAGGGGTTAGCTAGCTTTTTGAGGTCTTTTTGTAAGGGCACTAATCCCCTTCACAGAGGCTCTACCCTCCTCATCTCGTCACCACCCAAAGGCCCCACCTCCTAATAGCATCACATTAAGGATTAGGTTTTAATGTATGATTTTTGGAGGGACACAAACATTGTCCCGAGGGACACAAACATTTTGGAGGGACATATCATTGCATAGATATAGGATATGTAAGACTACATTTGTAGTATTTTTCTTGTCCCCATAAATATTGTCACATACCTGAATATGTCTATATAAAGTGAGGTTGGATATAGAGGACAGATTTTTTTCTATTAGTTTATAAGTTGCCAGAGTATAGGATCTGTTACAGAACCTAATAGAGAGGGATGCCCATTAACCACAGATTCTGAGATTTGTGCTGGAAGAGGTAATAGGATAGGATCTTGGGCTTTGTCCTTTGGAGGAAGAATGAGTTCACTTTGTTGGAAGCAGAGTGTACGCTGATAAATGGTTGCCATAGGACGGACTCTGGCAGCCTACCAGTTATTCCCTTCCAATCTTTTCCCCTCTCTTTCTGGGCATGTGACTACAGAGCTGTGAACGGTTTCTGTCGTCGTCACACGTATCAGCCATGTGAGGCTCTGTAGTAAGTTCTCACCGATGGAATATGAACAAAGTAATGTGTTCATTCGGTTAAGAGGAGATTCCTTCCTCTGGTCTTGCCCACTTTTCCCTTCCTGCAGACTGAAGTGTAGATATGGTAGAGGTGCAGCATCCGTCATGCTGATGAAGACAACATCCATGGGATTGATGGAGGAAGAAAATGCACTCAATAAAAATTCACAGAGAAAAGCTGCCTTACGTGCGTGAGGCAAACTTCACTCTTTAAGCGATTGTATTTTTCCCCCAGCAGTTTAGCCTTTAGTCTAAGAAAACTGCTTAGAAAAATACGGCCTTATTGTTACCTATTTAAAGTGGGCAAATGAGTTATTATGGGCAAATGAAGTTATTATGATAAGCACAAACTACTTGTCTATCTTTCATTAGAGTAGCTATGGGACAGAATGTGTAGACAGAACTCAGTTATAATGTCATTTTTTTTTCATATAACTCCTCATGCTTAAGAAGTAAGATATTAGAATTCTAGGAAGAGTCAGATTTATGTAGTCATTTGGAACCTTATGAATATCTTCTTCAACTTTCAGAAAATATTACATATATATATACACACAATAGTTTATAGAAAATTTAGTATAGTGTCTAATATAGGGTTTATAGTACATAGTATACAGATTATATAGAGTATAGAAACTATATAGCATATAGAGCATTTACAGTAATACTGTATATTACTCTTCATGTATTCATTAATTTTAATATCTATTTCAATTTACTTTTCACACATTCGCAACATTTATGTTTTCTAGAAGTATTTTAAAGTTTCCATTTTTACAATTCACAGAATAATAAAATTGCCCAGTTGTTTTAAAATTAGGTAGAAAATAGTAACTTATAAGAAACTACCTAGAAGCAAGCACATCATTAACTTTATGAATGTATAAATGAGTTTGTCATTTGCTAGAAGCCAATGAGATACATACTTGGTGTCTAATTTGTCAAGCATTACTTTTTGAAAATATTAAGCAGAGACATCTTCTGAGTCATAGACCAAGTCTCAGTCTCTCTCTATGTACATAATATATAATATACTATATATATATGTGTGTGTGTATATATATGAGTGTGTATATATATATATATCACACCCATACACACACACGCACGCACACTGTTAGGATCAGTTGGTTTATATGTTTTTAAGTCATGTATTTTTTAACTGAAATTCTGTCTAGATGTTCTATCCATTATTGAAAGTGGGGTAATCAAGTCTCCATCTATTAATGTAGAACTATCTATTCTTACCTTCAAGTTTGTCAGTACTTGCTTCATATTATTTTAGGACTATGTTGTTTTGAGAATATATGTTTATAATTACATCTTCTTAATGAATTGACACTTTTTAAAATATACACCTCCCTCTTCCTCATATACCAGTTATAAATTTACTTTGATATTACCACCGTAGCTTTCTTTTTGGTTGATATTGGTATGGAATATCTTTTTCTATCCTTTAATTTTCAATGTGAGTCTTTAGATCTAATGTGAGTCTCTTGAAGTTGTGTCGTTTTTGGAATTCACTCTATTTTGCCTTTTGATTGAAGAGTTTGATACATTTCTTTTTCAAGTAATTATTGATTTAAAAAGGACTTACTTCTGCCATTTTGCTGTTTTTTTTCTATATAACTATATATACTTTGCTCTCATTTTCTCTGTTATTACCTTTTCTGTTTGATTTTAGTTGAGTTTGCAAATAGGGCGCTACTTAATTCCCTTCCCTCATTTTTTGTGTATTATTTTGTGGATATTTTCTCTGTGCTTATTATAGGTATAATATTCAAGATCCTGTGTTTATCACAATGTACTTTGAATTAAAGTCAACATTCCCAGCATGCAAATACCCTACTCCTATGTAACTTCACTCCCTTTTATGTTGTTTCTCTTATAAGTTACACATTTCTACATTTTATGCTCAGAATTATAATGATTTTTGTATAATTATAGTTATTTTGATATGTTTCTGCTAGAAATTATTTCAGAAAGTTATAAATAAAAAATACAGTAATATTGGCTTTTATATTATACATTTCGATAATTTCAAGTATTCTAAAGTTTTGTTCTCAAACTATATTTTCTGCTTGCTCAAATCTTCTGTCTTTTAAAATGTCTATTATAATTTTAGCTCCAGAATTTATGTTTAGTTCTTTTTGGAATTTCTTTCTTACATTCTATTTTGCTTGTACATCATTTTCATGATTTCTTTTAGTTCTTTGTTTTTACTTTTATGTTTTTCTGTGAGGACAGTTATGTACCACATAATGATATTTCAGTCAATGGGAAACCAACCACATTTATGATTGTCCTCCCATAGGATTATAATATTGTATTTTGACTGTACCTTTTCTATGTTTATACATGTTTAGATACACAATACTTATCACTGTGTTACAGTTGCCTACAATATTTAGTATAGTAACATTCGGTACAAGTTTCTAGCCTAGGAGCAATAGGCTACACCATATAGTCTAGACATGTAGTACGCTATACCATCTAGCTTTGCGTGAATACAATCTGATGTTTGCACATTGACAAAATTGTCTAATAATGCATTTCTTAAGACATATTCCCACTGGTAAGCAACATATAACTGTATATTTAAAACCTTTTCTAGTAAATCCAATGTCTGGACTTCCTCAGGGACAGTTTCTGTCAATTTATTTTGTTCTGTTACATGGGCCATATTTTCCTATTTGTCAGCCTTGTGATTTTTGTAGAAACCTGGATATTTGGATATTACTATGTGGTAACTTGGAGATTCTCTCCTGTCCTCAAAGTTTATTATTTTCTGGTTGAGACTGTAGTAGACGTGTGTTTAATTACTTTCTAACGTATTTTTTCAGACTGAATAGTCTTTTCTCGTGTAATAACTGACATGTCTGTTCTTTAGCTTGTGTTCAGCTATTGTATTGGCATTTTTTCTTTTGTTTTTATTACTAGGGTCTAAAACAAACAAGCAAGCAAACAAAAAATGCCTCTCCCAATATTTGAGATTAGCTCTGTGCGATAAACACAGACGTTTAGCCAGACTTGCATTAAGTCTATTGATCGGCCTGAGATAAAAGCTTTGGGTCTTGTTGAGCATGTGTCTTGCCCTGGACATATATGTGGCTTTCTTAATTGCCTTGTATGCATGGACGCTTTTGAATGTCTTAAATTTTCAAAGAAACTCTCCCCTAGCTGTTCCTTCTCAGCCTTAGGTAGTTTATTACATGTCTAGAACATAATATTTTGTCCAGGCATTTTTGATTTATTAGATCATCTTGTAGTTTTTTGTTTGTTTGAGATGGAGTTTCACTCTTGTTGCCCAGCCTGGAGTGCAATGGTGCCATCTTGGCTTACCACAACCTCCGCCTCCGCCTCCCAGGTTCATGTGATCCTCCTGCCTCATCCTCCCAAGTAGCTGGGATTACAGGCATGCACCACCACACCTGGCTAATTTTGTGTTTTTAGTAGAGACGCGGTTTCTCCATGTTGGTCAGACTGATCTCAAACTCCCGACCTCAGGTGATCCGCCCACCTCGGCCTCCCAAAGTGCTGGGATTACAGGAGTGAGCCACCATGCATGGCCCATCTTGTGGTTATTTTGAATGATGCTCATTCTTTTTCCAGCCTGAATTCTTAATTAAGTGAAAGATTGCTGAGCACCTTGTCTCCATCCTTCAAGTAGTCTTCAAAGAGTTTATAGCAGGCATGCACAATAATTTGCAAATGAGGTTTGTTCTTCTCTCTTCAGTCCCAGGACCCGAGGTCCTACATTGGGAGCATAAGGTACCTTCAAGACTGTTACCATGCTGTGAAGGGGGTGGAACAAGGGAAAGCAAAAATATCACAAATATTTTTATTTTTTATATCAGCTATCTTTTTCTTGAGTCAGCATTTGCTTTGTTGCTTTGTTGCAGCATTTCTTGCTGTAAACCTGGAACTATTTTTTAGAAATTCTAATGAAGTTGTATCTGACTGGTTATGCTTATTTTTCAATGTTTTTGTGGAGAGATGATAGTTAAATCTGGCCATTCCATTTTGCTGAGGTCATCCTATCTCTAAATATGCCTCCCTAATCCTATTACAGGAGATTGCAAGAGGACAACTTGGCTCTAAAATCGATGCATGAACATGCCATTGGAATTGACCTCGCCAAAAGATGCCTCCCTAAATCCACAAGAACCTCCTTGTTTGAACACAGGTAGGCACTTAGAATTTTGTGATATATTTTTGACCCACAGGTTATTTAGAAGTGTTTTGTTTAATTTGAATATATTTGTGAATTTCCAGGGGTCTTTTTTTGTTGATGATTCTGATTTTATTCCATTTTGTTTGGAGTACATTCCTGATTGATCTCTACTGCTTTACATTTACTCATTCTGTTTAAGGC